CACAATACTTATAAATAAAGGAAACCTGCGGGGTTGTAATAAGATATGTACTTGACACTAGAATTAGCACAAATCAAGACATTTTCCATTTATTATAACAATTTTTATAATGAGAATGGCTTGGGATATTTAATTTTCTAGTTTCATTGACTTTTCATAAGATATTGAATTTCCTATTTATTAGTATACATAAGTACTTTTAATATCTATTAGTATATATACTGTTTGTGTATGTGATTTATATTTGTGTACATAAACATCTATTAAATAGTATATTAAAAGTTACCTGCTCCTTGTAAGAAACAGCATATATATATATATATATACATACATAGTGCTTTATATATATATATATATATATATATATATATATATATAGTGCATTATGTATCTGTAAAAGGATGTCATACAATAGTATTATAATGTTCAAAATCTCACATTAAGTGTCACATTAAAGTGGAGCCTCAATTTTTCATTTGAAAGCATAGATACAATGTGGCCAAATTTTAGTATTATTATCAACACCTATAGCATATAGACAAGAAAGGATAAAGCTGAATAAAATCTTGTGCCTTTGCCTAAGAGATTTAAGTATCAAGTATCTACCTCATTCACTGTGAAATAAGACGACGTGCTATGATAACTATGATATACTTAACTAATACTTGAGTAGGTTTTTTTCCTATTTACTATAATAGCATCATCATTATAATGCTTCAAAGTAATGTAAGTGTATATAGTTACATAATTATGATGTTTATTAACAGCATTTTTATAAGATTGCCATATATTTTGGTGAATATTAACATGTAAACATATTTTTAAGTAAGTTTTAGTGTACTGTCAATGAAGATTGAGTAGATCCTGACAATTCTCCCAAGTTCTGAGGCTGGTGAGAGTTGGGTCAGGTCTCCCACCTGATACAGGTGGCGAGGGGTGATGGGAGGCATCTTCCTTTCATTATATAACAAGTGTGACCTGCTCTACCTTTATAAAATAGATTCTTAACTTTCTAAATTATTTTAAAAATTACATTTATGTGATACATGTTTATGATATCTATCTATCAGTACCTCCTTCCAGGTAGCTATACCCTTGAAACACCTCATGGCACTATGTAAGTTAGTTAGGAGAGAGGTCATTTTATGATTAGATGAAATTTAAAACTTCAACTGTTTTAAATTTAAATTTTCTCTATCCTGAATATGAAATGATTGGTTTGATCAGCAATAATGTCTCAATATCTAGGCACAGTGGGCCTCCAAAAGCAATGGCAATAGCCAATGTTGGTTTGGGTTTCTCTGGAACCTCTCTGCAAATAACATGTAGGTGTCTGTCCCTTAATTTTCTGACCCTAGTATTTCCTCTCTCTAGTTCCATAATATCTATACATGCTAAAAGATTATGTTTAAATAGCACTTTTTGGTTCATTCTCTAGAAAGCTCATAAGAGGAAAGTCATAAAACTGAGTATGGATACTGTAACACCAGTGTTGAGAAATCATTACAGCCAAGAGCATGACAGAGGTAGACTTAGGGTATCATCTTTCATGTGACTGGTTGCTTTGTTTCTCTTCTTTTAATGACCCACCATCCATGTGCATAACTCTCTGTATGTCACCTCTTTTTATGTTGCTAGTTTTCATCCCACGCTTATTCAATCTTGTCTTCATAGCATTATCCACACTATCCACTATCTAAAAAATAGATTACTGAAAGATTAGTCCCATGACAGTTCAACTGGTTTTACCAATCTATTCCTTAGAAGAAAATTATGACAATAAGTAATAGCTTTCTTTTTCTTGCTGCTGCCTTAAAATAGCTCTCCAAAAGATGAGGGTGAGTTATACATTCAATACACACTTAATTTGACAAGATCAGGACTAAATTGCTTTTCTGAGTAGTCCTGATTACAGCATATTGTGCTAAGCTGTTATGTCTAACTGTGTAATCAAATATACTATAAACTGTCTTTTCTCTGAAGCATACTAAAGCCACACAAGGGAAGTGGGTAAGAAATATGCAAGTACAAATGCAAGCATTTTACATGGCATACATACATGATGAAATGAGGCACATGGTGTTTTCTCACAGTCTGACCAACTAGACCTTTAAACACAGAGCTCTGGATACATGGTGCTGCATCTTGGATTAGCACAATATTATAGAGCACCACACAGGCAGAAACCCATTAAAAAACCTAGCAGTTTATGGACTGCCTGTGTGGCCAGATACCTAAAGCTCAATTTTCTAACAATGGATCTAGTGAAATATTTTCAGTTATTTACACCATGTTCTAGTCTGCCTGGTTTCTAGAATTTGTTGTGTGGGACTTTTATGAACGAGTATATGAGATACTTCTTTATTCACTTAGAAAAATTCCAACACTTCAATATTTTGTTTTAATTACATGATTAAGGGTCTTTTATCTCATGCCTTGTACTTATTAATTATTAGTTTAAGTAATTTTACAGAATAAACACAGGCTTTCCAATAGCATATTAAAATCAAAATTCCACCTCTTGTATACTGCATATTAACTAACTGAATTTCAAGTTTACTATGAGAAGCCAAGGACTGAGAATAGCAGACACTATGTTGAATGAAAGAAAAACTTGAGGAAATTACACTGCCCTCATTCAGGTCTTAGTATTGAATGTGAATAATGAAAATGAGAGTTATTGATAAAAGAACAGATTAGGGCCCAACAACCATACTAGAGACGCATCAAGAGAACCACTCTGATACATTCAAATTATGCTTGGCAGCAGGACATAGGAAACTCCTGAAGCAAGGCATACTTTTCAAAACACAAGCAGAAATCCAGTTTTCCACAAATGGAAGAATAATAAGGAAATTTTGTACCAAAAAAATGGAATATTGCTTGGCTCTAAAGAAAAATGAAACTAAATTTTTTAGAAAATAGAGGGAATTAGAATGTATAATATTAAGGAAGGCCACATAAACACACACAAAAAATATTTTTGTGTTTACATTTATTTGGATCCTAGATTAATTGTGTGTGCATTTGTGTGTGTGTGTGTGTGTGTGTGTGTGTGCTTCTAAAAAGATGCACATTTGAGTATCTTAGAACTGTAGGCATGGTAACTATTGGATGACAAAGGAGGGTGGATGCAGGAAAAAGACACATGAGTTGTGGAAGAGGAGATGGAATAATAATATTTTTCTAGATCTAACTTGACATGGAGTTTGGTGGCAGGTAAATGCAAAAAGATACATTTGATAATGAGTTTGGGAAATCCAATGAGAATCTCCAGCAGCTTTACTATGGCTATTTTAAGCATACAGAAATACTTAGCATGTGTAGAATTTGGTCTGATTAAGTTTGGTGTGTGATTTCTTATAAATTGCAAATATTTTATAACAATTTTTTTTTTAAAAATGGCAGTTCTGAACATATTTCCACTACGAAAATTATGAATTTATATACAGATATTGTATCTTTCACAAGATTTAATTCAAAATGGGGCAAAGATCTAAAGCAAACAGGAAACTATGGAGTTTCTAAGAAAGAGGAAAATTTAGTTCATTTGGGTAATATTGGTGACATTTTAGAAACATATCAAACCCCTCTTCAATAAAGAAGATATTTGACTTTATTAAAATTAAATGGGTTTTCATGGAAAAAAGCCACAAACAAATATTACAAATTGGGTGGAGAGGGGTTTCTAAAATGTAATTCTAATAAAATTTGCAACTGTGACAACATCAGAAAGTGGAACAGTGATAACTGTTAGGAGTCATGACAGAACAACTTGGGGAAACAGCTAGTAAATTTCTTTCTTAAAAAGCACAATATTAATTAATGATTGGGCAACCATGTTACTTAGTATTATATAAAGGATTGCATAAAATCCTGCATTCAGATAGTGTAGTTCATAAGTGGCATTCATTAAATCTATAAAGGAAAACAACAAAGAATATGTAATAGTACATTCTCATAATGTAATATGTTGAAATTTTTCAGAACTAAATGTGAAATTTGAGCTATCAAGACATGAAAAGACATTGAGGAGATAGAATATGTCTTACAAATTGAAGAAGGCAATCTATAAAGAAAGCACTTCATATTATACTCCATTCTGGCAGAACTGTTTAATTGTGTTCTACAATGCACATTAGATGTCTATTGCCTCTTCAGCACAACAAACCGTACATACTATACTTTTTCATCTACCCAACAGCACCATGGGATCATTTCTGAGCTCATTGGTTTTCCCACCTCCATATAAGCCACACCTCTATTCTATCCCTGACAATGTCACTCTACTTCAACTCTTGTACCTCCCTTTCATCACTGTGGAGCTATTGCTAAGGCAAATTATTGTTTCTTGAATGCTAGCAACATAATACTTGGAAGTCAGTCTGATAAGCAAGATGACTACTTAGTGACTAGAAGTGAGGGGCATATGTGAGGGTGGATATGTAGGGCAAATAGATGACCAACAGTCCAAGCAAGAGGCATAGCAGGAAATTCCATCATTATTCAGAATGTTGTACAATTTAAATCTTATTATTTATTTCTGGAACTTTCAAATCTGATTGGAGATGACTCTGTGTAGCTAAAACTGGGGAAAAAAATAAAGCTCTGAAAATAAACTTACCAGTGGTTTCAGGGTAGCCCATTTGAAGAATGAATAGATGGTGCAAAGAAGATTTCAGTTCAGTGAAATTATTCCAGACCACACTATCATAGTGAGTAGAAGACACTCATGTCTCTAAAATCTTAGAGCTGTATCACAGAGTGAGTCCTAAGAAAAACTATGGTCTCTAGTTAGTAATAATGTGTTAATTTAATTAGCTTGTCAACTCTGACAAATATAAGACATTAATTTAAAATATTAACAATCAAGAAAGATTGTGTTTTGTGAAATATAAAACAGAAATGTGAGAGAATCTATGGTAGCATATACAAGATTATTAAAAGAAAATATATAACTCAAGATTTTCTTTTAAAATATATTCAGTATTGTCCTAAAGATGACAACTACAAAAGGGAAAACAGGGTTATTTCAGAAGAACAAGGTGAGTTCATCGCGTCTGTGTACATCTTCTAACAGTCAAAGAAATAAATATGCCATGGATTATTCAGATCAACACTTTGAAAATCAATGGGCTCCCAAAGCTTATGTGCTCTTTTGAGTTTCCCTGGTGTTTACACCAACAGTAACATTTGTTCTCTTGAATAAATAGATGGTCTTTGTTTGTGGCACCTGATCAAAGCTAGTACACAGGTGTGAGTTTCCCATGGGAAGGAAGAGAATAGGGCTGTAGCTTACACTAAGCTGCCCCCATAGCTTTTGATGTCTTGACTTCCCACATAAGCCTATGGAATACCTGCTATTGATAGCATTATCAAGAACTGCTTTTGTTATTTCTGAATTAATTCTGTCATTCCAAAAATATAAGTAAATGTTTATGTTTTCATACATGCCTCTCTTGCTACCTTCACTAAATATAACCTCCATTTCCAGTAGTTTGTTATATAGATCTTAGATTATCTATATGTTATGCTAATTAAAAGTTTTCTAAGACCAATATATTGATTTATTGCAATTGTAAGAATAATTTCATCAAAATTGAATTAAAGACAAGCTACTCTGTATATGTGCATAGACTCATGTGTGCATTCATGCATTCATTCCAAAGCATGTGCATTACAGTATAGCTAGATGGTATTGTTTGTGATCAGCAGGCAAAACAGGATAAAGGGCATTTTGTTAATATCCAAGATGTAATCAGTTAGCTACTAGAAGAAACGAATAAAATGGTGTGGGCTTTTCTTGAGGAAAAAAAAAAGTGTCCCTAAGAGAAAATGGGCTTTGTGCTCTTAAAAGTACAAAAAATGAACTTAGGAACACAAGTTATTCTAAGAATGGTAACAGCCAGGAGGAAAAATTCCTGCAGCACTGTGAGAGTAAAAGATTAGTTTAAATCCTACCACTCATTATTGCTTATGTACAGGGTCTAGGGCAGCTGCCCTCTACTTTGGTACTCTTTCTACTAAATTTTGCTGAGATTATTTTTTTCTCAGATTTTCACCTCCCAAATCATATTTGAAAAAGGATTCCTTCAGATTGCCTTTACAGTTCTCTAGAGTTCACTACCTTAGCACCTCAAACTAAAGATAAATATGATACAGAAAATACAAGAAAAAAGGTATTCTTAACTTCAAAGGAAAGTACCAAAGGCTGGCTCTTTCCCAAGGCTACAGATACCAATGAAGAAAGCTCTACAAAAAATACTGTGTTGTATTGATAATGTTACTAGTTATTTTTACTAAAGTTGTGTGCAATGGCCTAGTGTTTCAACTTATGTTTTGACACTATATGGACTATTGTGATAGTCCATTTATTTTTAAATTATTGGAGCTTTAGAGTACTTTGGTGGTAGATGGGGAAGCAATTTGTGGTATATGTTCTTTTCCTCTCTATACAAAAGTAAATTGAGTCTCTAACCAGCCATTTGAACTTGTCAATGAATAGCTATATATAACTATTTTTATTTCAGCTTCCTACTATCGTCCTATGATTTTTCATTTTCCCTGTAAGTGAAATAGTAGTATTCAATGACCCAATTTATGAGATTGCTGCAACTTGTAAGCTTGGAATAATAACGATTTTTATTAAAGAACAAATAATGCATTTAAATGACTCTGAGAAGCTCGTATTGTACAGTAAATGCAAAGTAAGAGCAATTTTTCATTGTTGCTAGTTGACCATAATCTTTTTTCCTCCACAAACTAATTTCTATACTTGTCTGCACTTTTTCACATCTTTGACAATGGCCTTATACTGAATGTCACTGTCTTAGTTAATTTCTATTGCTGTTAAAAAGTCAGAAGTAACTTGAGGAGGAAAGGGTTTACTTCATTCATTCATATGACCATCGGTCATATGCTATCACCGAGGGAAGTCAGGTCAGGAAATCATGGCAGGAGCATGGAGGTAAGAACTGAACCGGAAGCCATGAAGGAGTGCTGCCTACCTGTTTGCTCCCCATGGCTTGCACAGTCTGTTTTTTCATACAATTCAGGACATCCTTCCCAAAGGCACGTCTGCCCATATCACTAATCAAGACAATGCCCTATAGATTCACCAATAGTCAATTTGATGGAGGTATTTTCTTGATCATGGTTCATCTTTCCAAAGAACTCCAGTTTGTGTCAAATTGTCAAGGAACAAACCAAACTCTGGTCTTTGGCTTCCTACTGATTTCCCATAGCATGGCTTGCAGAATGCTATAGGCAGATGAGGATGGATGCTTTTGTCCTATGTATTACTCTATAACTTACCTGCTCTTCTATGTGTCTGATGACAGTTATCTTGCACCAACATGCTTGTAGAAGATTCCTACTGTAGCTACAGCATGCTCCTAATTTTTCTGTGCATAGTATTTTATTTATTTCTATTAAAATAACATTTTTTCCATTTACTTTACATACAGACCACCTTTTCCCTTCCCTTCATTCCTCCCCAGCACCTGCTTCCCATCTAACTCCTCAGTTTCCACTCTTCCCAAGGGCTTGAACAAAGCATGGTACATCAAGTAGAGACAGGGCCTAGCTACTCCCCTTGTATCAAGGATGCACAAGGTAACCCAGCATGTGGAATAGGATCAGGACAGGTCCTGATCTCACTGCTAGGAGTCTTACAAAGAGACAAAGCTACACTGCCACACACATGCAGAGTGCCTAGTCAATGGGGTACCACTAGCTCAGGTCAGTTTTCTCTGTGGATCCCAGTCCATCCCAGTCCCTTTACTCATACAATCCCTCTTACCTTTCTTCACCAAGATTCCCTGAGCTAAGCCCAATGCTTGGATGAAGATCTCTGCGTCTGCTTCTTTCAGTTACAGAACAGAGTATTTCTGATGACAATTGGTGTAGTCACAGATTTGATTACAGTAGATGACCAGTTCAGATACTCTCTCCACTATTGCTAGGAGTCTTAGTTGGGTTTCTAGTTTCTGTGTGTTTCATGGGTATCTGTTGTGCAATAAAGGGCTAGAGAGATTGTTTAGCAATTAAGAGTGCTTCCTGTTCTCATGAAAAGCTAAAGTTCAGTTCCTAGAACACACAAGGCAGCTCAAACCTATCTGTCCTTCATTGATCACATACACACACACACACACACACACACACACACACACACACACACACACACACTTTAAGTTTTAAGAAGAAAAAAAAAGATATATTAAGACAGTGAAGACATTGGAAACAACAGTGGCAATCTTTACCCTAAAAAAAGGAAGGAGATACATGAATTAAGAATTACAATTTAGGGTTTTATTTGTAGGTTTCTGGGGGTTTCTCTGGTTCCAAGTTTCTTCCTCATCCCAAAATACAATCCATTAAACTTCTCTTTTGTTGCACTCCCCCTCCAACTGGCCTCCAAACTGCCTCCTGCACTCAGCCTTCCCAAGTTGCTCCCGCTACTTCCCATCCATCCATCCTCTACCCCCAGTTGATCCAGGAGATCTTTTCTACTTCCTGTTCCCAAGGAAATACCTCTTTGGGGTCTCCTTATTATCTAGCCTCTCTGGGGCTGTGGATTGTAGGTTGTTTAACCTACAATTTACTCTGAATATCCACTTATTAATACATACATTTTATGTTTGTCTTTCTGTGCCTGAATTATCTCTCTCGGGATGCTTGCGGCTGTGGGACCAGGCTTGCAGGAAAAAGTGCTTATTACAATATTTTAATAGTTCCATTCATTTGTCTGTAAATTTCTTGAGGTTATTGTTTTGTTTTGTTTTTTATCAGCAGAGTTATAGTCCATTGTGGAAATGTTGCACATTTTCCTTAGTCCATTCTTCGATTAAGGGGAACCTAGGTTGTTCCATGTTCTATTACAAATAATGTGGCTATGAACATAGTTGAGCAAATGTGTTTGTGGTATAAGTGTATATCTTTTGGGTGTATACTCAAGATTGGTATTGCTGGATCTTGAGGTAGATAATTTCCCAATTTTCTGAGAAACTGCCATAGTGATTTTCAAAGTGGGTGTTCAAGTTTCACTCCCACCAGCAGTGGAAGAGTGTTCCCCTTACTCCATATTTTCTCTACCATAGGCTGTCATTAGTGTTTTTGATGTTAGCCATTCTGACAGATGTAAGATGGTATCTCAGCAATTTTGATTTGCATTTTTAATTGCATTTTCCTAATGACTAAGAATATTGAGCAATTCTTTAAATGTCTTTCAGCCATTGAGATTCTTCTGTTGAGAATTATCTGTTTAGATGTATAGCCATTTCAAAAATGATTATTTGGTAATTTGCTGTCTAGTTTCCTGAAGGAGATTGCTAAAGATTTTTTTCCCTTTCTTTAGGCTGCTGTTTTTTCTTGTTGACTGTTCCCTTGGTTTTAGAGAATATTCAGTTTCTTCTAAAATGACTAGACCTACTACCGTCACTACTGTTACTTTAGCTACCACTGTTAGGAGCAGAATGATTTGAGTAAACAATATTAATGGCTCTGTATTAGGGCAAAGATGACCTGAAAAGAAGAAATTATTTATTTTCAAGTGTGAAAGCACTCTAACATTTAGCTTTAAAATCAGGGCAGCAGCCCTTAGATTTATCTTCCTTTACTTCCCAGCCCCATATCTTCATTTTCAGTGTTTTAAAAAATATTTCACAGTCAGGATTTACCTCCCCTCATAACTTTACCTCATACCATAGAAGAGTCAATTTTGTGTTCAAATAAGAAGAAAAAAATCAATCAACACGTTGGTTTTATTTCCTTGGCAAACTAATTAGTTAATTAGTTAATATAAGTACAGATTTCTTTAAAAAATTTAAAAATTCTGGATTCTAAATTTATTTTTGCTTTTAATCGCATTATTTTTTCTGAAACATTCTGATGAATTATAAAAAGTCTTTGTAACTAGTCTTGTGTTGAAAAAAGAACAACAGAACAACAATAAATGTGTTACTTATCCACATTGCATGTCTAGAACATGAGAAGACCCTATATGTTTGTAACTGATCATGACTCCAGACTTTCCTCTATGAATTGCCAAATTTCTTATAGAAAACTAAAAGCTCAAAGATTACACTAGTTTGAATAATGCTATAGGAATTTTAATATCTTGAAATACAATTTGAGATTTTATTGTGGGGTAAATATTGTAATTAAATATATTAAACTCTTCAATTTATAATAAGTATTTCAAATTGATCTTATGGTTTCCCTACTTTGAAGTCACTCTATTTTTGAGTTAGGTTTCATTAAAGAAATGTTAATTACAAACAGCCTCTTTTCAAAATATCTATTGTCTCTTTTTGAATAAGAATAAAGTCTACATTTTAAAATAGAAATCAAACTTAAATAATCTTTTCTATCCTATAGATAGGTCCCACAGTTTGACATTCAAAATATATAAAGGGAAAATAACCATAGGCTGTACTTGATAGTTTGATTGACATGTCTGCTTTATTCCCTTTGGCAAGTTTAAGTATTTTATTATGCTGTTCATGCTTCTTTTTATGTGGTTGTAATTTATGACAGACACATAAATGACAGTATCAAAATTATTCTTGTTTTGTATTCCTGTTAGCATAAAATAGCTTTCGAAATCTCCTTTCTCTGACAATTAAATGTTCTGTGATGCAACCCCACTATACAATTTCTGGTCAACTCTGTTTGCCATTGTTCTTTGTATATGGATCTTGGAAGTATGTTTTCTTATCCTTTTGTCTACTTTGCTCTCCTCTTATCTTTCTCACATATCTTTCTGCAGGACATTTTTGTGTAACTTCCTATTTTGAAAGAAGGTTGACTCTGTAAGCCCAGAACTAAGCATATAATTGGAATGCCTTTTAAATTTTTAATTATCATTTTCACTCCCATCTATGGTTCTTAAAAACTGCCTTATTTGAACTGAACGAGGCCATTTTTATATGAAATGAGGTTCCTCTGTATTGCCATGTTCACAGCATTTACATCAAAGAAGTCTTTTCAGGATGCATAAATTAAGTTTGGGTTCCTGAGAAAAAAAAAATGGTGATCAAAAAAGATCTAGTCCTTACCTCAAGATATGGAAAGCTTAAAAATAATCAAGAGCCACATGAACCCACAAGTGCATATAATACCATAACTATAATAAGTCAATAAGACATTTTATAAGAGCATTACAAAGTGACCTGAACTAAAATAAATGCTTTTGGTAATTGTAAGAAAAAACTATAACATTTTATAAGCCACAGTCAATAGTTGTCTCCATTTTGCTAAATGAATTGTTTCTTAATATTTAAATTTAGTTATTCTATGTCCTTTTCACATTATGTATCTTGATCCTATTCATTCCAGTCCCTTTGCATTGACCTCCCCCACCCATACTACCCACACTGGATAAACCCTGGACCTGATCAGCTGTAGGGAAGATCCTCCAGAAAGGAAATGGGGTTACACAAGGGTTTTCTCTAAAGCTGAGGTAGTTTGAAAACTACTCCACTAAAGAATCCTATTTGTATACCTGTTCCTTAGTTGGGAAGGGGATTAGAAGGTGTGAGATTGTTGGAGAAGGTTTTGAGTTTTAAAAGACTAGGATGTTTCAGGGTCTCTTTTATTTTTCTGCTTCCTGCTTGTGGAAGTAAGCTCTTAGCTACTGCTTCAGCCCACTTCCTGCCTGCCGCCATACTCTTGGTCATGATGGTCTCAGACACATTCACTAAAACTGATAGCAAATTCAAAATTAATTGGTTTCTTTTATAAGTTTCATTGTAAGACCCTCAGAAGGAGGAGTCTCCCAGTTTCGGTTGGTACCCCCAAGAACTCAATGTCCAGTCCCATTGCTGCAACAAGCAAGAGGCTTTAATGAACACAGGCTAGAGAGAAGCCCCCTTCCCCAGTCACAGGTGTTTTTAAAGGCAAAACCCACAAGCTTAGGGAGGGGGTGTGACCCTCTGTCCTTTGAGGGCGGATGGTCTCGCCATTAGGGTCAGCAGACCTTAGGGCCTCAGGGTGTGCTAATTAATCTTGTCTGGGCAAACAGGAGGTACTGTTATCTCCTTGTTTCTTAAGGACCCCATTCACCACCTGCTGACTCACAAGAAGAGGAGCAGTTTAAATTCTTGGTATCCTGTTATCTCATGGCCTTGTGAGGGGAAGTTAGTAAATTCCAAGGAACTGATATTGGTCTGGGTTAGCTTTCCAGGTCAGTCTGTCCTTCATTTCAAGTGGGTGGTTTCTTTAACTTTACTTTTGTTTCCTTCATCGTTAGCCATGGTATCTTTTCATACTGATAGAAATGTACCTATAGCAAAATTCCTAGTAAGCCTCATACTTGTAGTTACCCTACCTCAGGCTATTGAGTTCTGAGAACTTTAGGTACATCCACCATGGGCTGTGCCCCAACAGAAATCTTTAAGTCTGTTAAATTGAAAAAATCTGTGAGGATTTGACTGAAAAACAAGCATGATTCTTACACTACTTCCAAGGTTGTGGGCAATAATTTCCACAGCTACTCCTCCAGCAAGCAATGGGATGCTGCAGGCTGTTTTCAGACTTAAACTAACAGTGCCATCACTCCCACCATTGTCTCTCGGACAAAGTTCTCACAAGCTCTAGCAGGTTTAAAGAAAAGCATAACAATTTCCATTGTTTAACAAAAAGGTAAAAAATGAAAAAATAAAAATAAAAAAGAACCTTGATTTGAAAAGTCCACTTATACACTTATGGTCAAATGTTAATTGAAATTAGAGAAAATACATTAAGAATAAACATGATGGAACACCACCATGTAAGAGAAACTGCAGCAAGCCTACCCAAGCTGCGGTCTTCCTGTCCCTGGAGCCCAGGCCATCCCACATGTGCATGCTCAGCAGGCAGGCACTTCCTCCCTGAGCCAAGCTGCCATGCCTCAAAGCCCAGAGAGGCTAACTGAAGACACCTGACCCTGAGACACCAATGAGAAAAGGGTATACAGCAGAGTCAAGCGCCTGAGCTAATGGGACCCTAGGAAGCAGTATAAAGGCAGCCCTAACTTCCTTAATACACGATTCTGCAGCATGCTCTGCTAGTCACTGACTCCCAGTGCCTGAGTAGTTAGTGCTCTGTCTTCTCACCCCTTCTCCCAAGGGGTGTCCAAGTAGAGTAACCCGCAACAGCTCTTTAATAATGTGATCCTTTTGTTCATTTTTCCCCTATTATTTGTGTTTTTTTTTTTTTTTTTTTTTCATTTCCTTGTGTTTTCCTTCTGTATCTATAGTGCTACAGATAGAGCCTGGAGTAACTTTCATGTAAGACAAGGGAGCCACTACCACTGTTGCTCTTCAGTCTTCCAACAAGTTTGAGGTTGCAAGAATAGCGGGTGCGGAGCGACTCCTCAAGTTTCAGAACGACCACAGGGACTGCGCACTCTTCCAGGATGTGCAGAAGCCATCTCAAGATGAGTGGGGTAAAACCCAGGAGGCCATGGAAGCTGCCTTGGCCCTGGAGAAGAACCTAAACCAGGCCCCCTTGGATCTTCATTCCCTGGGTTCTGGTCGCACAGACTCTCATCTCTGTGACTTCCTGGAGAGTCACTTCCTGGATGAGGAGGTGAAGCTCATCAAGAAGATGGGCAACCACCTGACCAACATCCATAGGCTGGCTGGCCCCCCAGCCAAGGCAGACTATCTCTTTCAGCGGCTCACTCTCAAGCATGACTAGGAGGCCTCCCTTTCCAAGGGGCTCCCTCCCTCTGCTCTGTACCAACCAGCCTCAGGACCCTCATCCGAACCTCTCAAGCCACTAGGCAGCTTTGTAACCACCATGAAGCCCCTCTCAGATCTTGGATCAAGTAAAAATAAAGCTTTTTGAAACAGCCAAAAAAAAAAAAAAAAAAAAAAAAAAAAAAAAAAAAAAAGAAAAAGAAAAAGACAAAAAGAATAGCTTTTCAAACAATATACTTAAAATTATGTCAAATTATCTTCTTATAGTTTTGTACTAATTTTCCCATGCTAATTTCACATGCTATACCACCTGACACTTCAGTATCTGTGAACAAAAGCACAATGACCATGTCCTAAAACCAGTATTTATCCTTCAGATAGTTATCAATTATGTATTTTAGAAACACCAAAATTAATTTATGCATATGTACCATGTTGTGTTTACATGTGTATGTTAAATACACATGTTTTAGGTACATGTATCATCCTATGTGTTTTATATGTATGTGCTAGAAAGGTCAACTCAGGTCTTAGGGTTTGTGTGGCTAGCATTCTAGTAACCAAGCCATCGCCACAAATATATGCCCTTCATTTTTACCTAGTTATCCCCCAATAGACATCTCAGTTGATTGCAACTCTTGTATGTTGTGAATAATGGTACAATTAAATTAGAATATATTTCTTTGATAAAATAATCTCATTCTCTTTGCATTTGTATCCATCCAGTAGTATTTGTTTCCGGTTGGGTTATATAGCTGTTGCATTTGTTTTGATTTTCTGAAGGACTTTCATGCTGTTTCCCATAGTGGTTACTATACCTACACATTCTTAACAATGCTTTCTAAATGTGACTTCCTTTCGGTATCATCATAAGCACTTGCTACCCACCTTTAATTGCCTTTGTCTGGCTTGGATGTTGGTATGATGTTGACTTCATAGACTTATGTCTTTCAAGGATTTCAAAACTGAGGGAAAAATGTAATTATTCTTTTACACTTCCTAAAACTCAATAGCGAAACTGTATAGTCTCACATTCATCTTTGTTTTGAATTAATTAATTATTGATTTAATCTCATTACCCATTGTTGGACCTTTCAGGTTACTCATGTCTCCAAAGTTATATTTTTGTAGATTATGTGTGTCCAGAAATTTGTCTATTTCTTCTTCTTCTTTTTCAGTATATTGCTGCCTAGGTTTTCACAATAACCCCTGTTCTCCTTTCCAGTGTCAGTTGTTTTGTCTGTATCTATTTTATTTTCTTTAATTTTATTTATTTGGCATTTCTCCCCTTTTCTTATGGTACACATAGCTAAAGTTGTCCAGGTCATTCTTTCAGCAGAATACCTCTTACATTTATACCTTGCAAGCTTCTATTATTCAAGATCTGTATTATTTCTGCTCCAATATTTGTCACTTATACTTTTTCTCTTTTGAGATATTTCTTTTATAGTAGCACACAAAGTTCTGAATTCTATGATGGCCTGTTAACTCATCTATGTAATTTCAGGTTTTTTTCTTCTTCTTCTTTCTTCATGCCTCTCCCTGCCAACCACAAACATTTCTCCCTTTTGTTTTCATGACATATATATTCCATTATTCATCTGTTTTTCTAAGTTTTCTTAATGGCTCATCATCTCCCATGATTCCACTTATAGTTTATAAACTAAATGCACAGTTACACACACATACACACACACACACACACACACACACACACACAGCAATTTTAAGTCTAAGTACTGTCTATAAAAGAAAGTGTGAAAATCCCATTTTTTCCTGGTTTGTTTTATTTAAAAATGACTTTCAGTTATACAAATTTTTTGACAGATGTCATGATTTTATTTTCTTAATAGCTACATAAAATTCTATGCTATACATTTATGACATTTGTATTCATGTATCTGTTGAAATATATCAAGACTCATCTTACATAATAGTGCTTGTAAATGGTGCAGATGGTGAATGGTGAACATAGATGTGTAAGCATTTCAGAGGTATATACTAAGTGTTCTTCAAGTATATACTCAAGTGGTAGTTCTATTTTTATTCCATCAAAAAGGACTCATTGGATTTCTACAGTAATGATAATATATAAGGAATGATTTCTAGTAAAAGTAGAATTTTTTAACTAGTAAAACTTGATTTGTGGCATAGAATATGGTCTGTTTCAAGGGAAATTTCATGTGCTTAGGAAAATGGTTGGAATGGTACATATATCACTGTAAAGTCTATTTGATTTATGGTGTAGTTATCTGAGGTGTCATTTTTTTACTTTTTTGCAAATGCCCTAAGAGTGAGTGTGGCGCATTAAAATTACACAATACGGTTATATGAAGATCTGTCTAACCTTGCATATCCAGTAATATGAGTTTTATGGAGTCACAATACTCAAGAGACTCACAAAACAAACAAGGAATAAGGGTCTCCATACACATTTATATTAACTTTAAACATTTGCTATGGAAGAGTGGCCTGCTGGAGTTCTCTTCGAGGTGTAGAGGAAACTACATTGCAGTTGATTTCATGAGTTATTACCCAGAAGTGGCCTTTAGTGTGAGGCAGGTGCCATACTCTTACTACTCCTCATTCATTCTAAATTCATTGGTTCCCCATGGTGGACTTGGTTGAACAGGTTTTTTGCTCTGTCCTTGTGGCCTTAACAGGATTGATTGAATATACATATGTCTCATATCCTCAGGGAAAAAGAATGCAACAGATTTACTGAGTGAGACATGTTCATTCTTTCTTATTTATCCAAATATTCCCCTCATGAAGGTATTTTTCCTGAGTCTTTCTGTTGGTTACTACTTTTCTTTCATCTCTTTTAAGAATCCTTTAAGAATCTCCTGTAGTGCTGGATTAATATACATAACTTGATTTAGTTTACTCTTTTATTTTGAAATGTATCATTTCCATGTTGATTTTAGAAGAACATTTTGCTAGATATCACAACCGTGGTTCTCAGTTAATTTTTCTGAAGGGTTGATGTAGTGGGATATTCACTTTGTCTCCTTCTGTTGCACTGACCATGCCCATTGGGGGGTGGATCCAGGGGCAGAAGTGACCAGGTCTGAAGAGGAGGGGGAGGATTCTCTCTTGAAAGCACCACAGGGACAGTAGGACTTCCAGAGGCATTCTTGGAAACAGGAACCTGCTGGTGTTCACCTATGTTGTGAATATTTCTCCCTGAATAAACATCTGTTCGGCTTAATTGTTTATCCAGATCCTTATTAAACTGTGATAGGTGGAAACATATCACTCTATACCTTGAGGGTTTCTATTGAGAGGTCTTTTCCTCAGATCAGTTTGTTCTTAGAACATTAACTATACAGTTATGCTGAAAATGTTTACATGTTATAAGTTTTTGGATCTAAATACTTCATACACTTGTATATAGCTTTATGACATTGTTGAATTATTTTTATATGCTTTTAAAAGTTATCTGAGTACCTTTATCTACCATATGTATTGTTAGTGTTGACCTTTTCATATTGACCCTATATTTTGTGTACCTTATGGTTACGGTTAATTAATATTTAATATTTACTGATGTCCAAATAAATTGTGGCCTTAATATTGTCTTCCTTCCTTAATATCCACTCTTTTATTTCTTATAGTTCATTAATAATATTTTAAACAGTTTTTTTATTTATTTAATTGATTCTGGGTGTGCTTTTTAAAATCCTATCTTCCTTGATGATTTTTCTCAATGTTACTGCAGATGTTATTTTAGAGTTTGAACTACTATTTCTTTTTTATACATGGATTCATGTGAATCCTTTTGGAAATCATAAAATATTTTACAAACAAGATGTTATGTTTTTGTACAGGATTTTGACCATTTCAATATTTCTTTTTTATTATTACTATTATTATTATTACTATTATTACTATTACTAGTATTACTATTATTATTATTATTTCTTTTGTTTGACCCATCTATCCTATTAAAAACATTTTCTTGAAACTAAAAGTCTTCCTCTTGAGGCTTTCAAAGGAATTATAATTTAATTTATTTAATTCTTTAGTTCCAGTATTGACTTTGCTTTTGTTTTTTTGTTTTTTGACTTCTGTCTCTTTGCTAAGTCTCTCATATATATTATATACTTTCTTTTGAATTCCCCTGAATTTTCTTTTTATCCTATACACTTTTAAGACATTATGAATATTTTTGAATCATATTTAATTAGTTCTTTCCTTCTATTGCTGCAGAGTTGTGTTGCTTTTCAGGCATCACACATCTTAATTTTTAACTCTTACATTGATAATGCCTCTCTCTGGAAGCTTTGCTTAAGATACCAGTTAGCTATAGTGCCTTGTTTATTGTCCTACACAAACCCTTCCAGTACCTAATTCAGTTTGTCTTGCTGTAATTAATGCTGTTGCCAGTGGAAAATACATCTGAGTCCCCCAGGATATGCACATTTCATGAGAAAAGCTGAAACCCAGGCCCCTCAGAGCACACTGTGATCAGCAGAAGGCAGAAGAAGCTTAGCAGTTTGTGGAGCTCTCTCTCTCTCTCTCTCTCTGTCTCTCTCTCTTCCTCTCTCTCTCTCTCTCCCTCTCTCTCTCCCTCTCTCTCTCTCTGTCTCTCTCTCTCTGTGTGTGTGCGTATGTGTGTGTGTGTGTGTGTGTGTGTTGGGAGCATATAGAGATGAGACTGTCCATCTAAAAGGGCAGCTGGCCAACTGCATTTAGCTGTTTCTGAGTGGCACTCAAGAGTGGAACTACTATAATGAATAAAGAATGGATCATGGTCTTTTGTACCTGAAAATGGGTTAAATCAACTTTAGTATCCAATATCTGTGTTGGTGGCTTTGAGAAATCACTGTAGACAAACCTATTTAACAGACAACAACAACAAAAAAATTCTGGGGTCAATGTGTAAGTGGTACTACTACTTATGTGCTTCCCAGGACGTAGTAGGACACGTTTTCAAGGTACTCTTTGGCTGGAAAAGAAGCAATGGGATTCCCCATCAGTTTCTACTGAACGTTT